TTAGAAATTTATACAAGTTATTTTGTGACTCTGTATTTCAATTTTATACTAAGGCAGGCGAAGAGAATCAGAGGGAAAAGAGAAGTGTCTTCTTCGAAGAAATGCAGCAAGAATTTACTTGGTACTACCAGGACCACTTAGCACCTTATAGAAGTCATTCCTTATTTTCTCAGGGGTTATTTTCCTTAAAATAAGCAGAGAGTTTTACTTCAGGAGTCTTAGAATAGAAGTTTAGCAGTCAAGTAATAAAAATGATGCTAGATAAAAACACATAATAAATAAAAACATTGTAAAGGCATCCACTTCTAAAATATGCTGGTATTGTAAAATCACGCTCTAAATCCTTTTTCCTGAATTCCCCTGAATTGTTCAGGGAACATTAGTAAAGGCATTGTGACTTGCTGAGACAGATCCTCCTAAGATTGTTATATAAGCTACATTTCTTCCTACTGTTCTCAAATGATCTTTTATGCGCTTAAATTAAATTTTTTTGTTCTCCCTTGCTTTGGAGGAGGGGGTAAGCAATTTTTGGTAAAAATGCTTACACAGTAAGACCTTTTTTGTAAATTGCTGAGGGCAGAGAGGGAAGAGAGATTAACAATAATCGCTGTCTTGTTCTTTTGTTTAAAGGGGAATGCACTGACCCACACATACATAAAAAGATCACAGATTATTTAAAATAGGTATGCAAACACAAAACTGCAGAATCACAGAACTGCACTTGGCAAAGCATGATTTACTTTAACCATTAAAAGAATTCATATCTGTCCTTTCTTTGAAAAGGAAAATATTTGTCAAATATCAAGACAGTCATCAGAAAATAGGAGGTTCATGGTGAGAAACCACTGCAGAATAAATAAAACAGATCAGTCAGTGCCACTCGTACTAAGGAAAGTATAAAACAGTGTGTTACTGTTCACAGTACAGAGGAAAAGGCAGCAGCCCCCCCCTCCCCCCCACCCTTGGACTGGCTGAGCGGTGTTATACCCAACCAGCATCAGGCAGCCCTGAACAATCTATGCCAGGACCAGTCTGCTTTCAGTTCCTCAGTTGTGATGAGCTCTTAAATACAACCTGGTCCCTTTGTCTAGGTGATACTTTCCCCCCAATATTTTTTCATCTTTGTGCTGCTCAGGTTTCAGGTCTCAGCTTTCTTTACTGCATAGCTACGTTAGGTACCTCCACTTATTACCTCCTTGAACAATTTATAACCTCTCTCTATGCTATTTCTAACACTTGTAGCTATATCTATACATAATCTGCACGTATTGCATGTATACATCATGTTATATTAGTATATTCTATGTATATTACACATATAAGGTCTCTCTTTCCCCCTTAGGCTGTACATTCCACAAGAACAGAGACCATGTCTGTTTCACATAATGCACAGCAGGGTCTTGGACACTGCATGGTACAAAAGTAGAATAAAAGGAACAAAAGTGGAATAAAATACATTCAGAGCCCCATCTTTGGTTGCCATCACTTCACATCTTTAGAGCCTCGACAAGACCCTTCCACCTGCTATGCTAGACTATAAAGACCTTAACATTAAACAATGACCTACTGACTTGTAAAAACCATCAGGCTTGCATTCTGGGCTTAAGTGGGGGTGGGAGGGTCCTTCTGTTAGTATAATTAGTCAGTTATCAGTCATGTCAGTAACCTGCCATAGACTTTCTTTGGATTCCGGAGAGCTGCTTGATTGCTTTTCTATCAACATTAACTCTTACCTGAAGTACTTTCTCTTTTCCCTTAGAGAAGTAGAACCAAATGCAAATTCAGTTTTTGCCTTTCATCTCTGTGGAAGGCAGCCTACATGATGGCCTCTGCTGATCCTTGCCTCCTAGTAGCCACAGCTCTTGAGTAGCAGACTCCTCCCCAACTGAGCAGGGCTGACCTATGTAGCTAGTAGGATGTCATGGAAATGATGGTGTGAGACTTCTGAAGCTAAATCATAGAAGACACTGGGGCATTCACCTTGAGCTTTATCATTTGCTCTGGGGGGAATCCAGCACCATGCTCTGAGGACACTCCAGCAGTCCTGTGGAGAGGTCCACGTGATGAACTGAGTTCTCCTAGCAACAGCCTGTACTAACTTGTTAGCCACATAAGTAAGCCATCTTGAAAAAGGGTTCTACAGCCTTAGTCAAGCCTTCAGATGACTGCAGCCTCACTGATATCCTGACTGCTACCTCCTGAGATCCTCACCAGAACCAATCAGCCAAAGTGCTTCTGAATTCTAACCCACAGAAACTGCATGTGACAATAAATGTTTATTGCTGCTTTAAGCTACTAAATTTGCGGGTAATTTGTTATGCAGCAATAGATAACTAATATAATCTTTCGTTACTCAAGTTCATACAGAAAATTTTCTAGAAACTTTCACCATTAACACAAAGGGAAATAAGAAATTCATTTTTATTTTTTCAAGTTTACCCCACAACTCCCTTCTCCTTGTTCATTAGATCCCATAAGGAAGACAAAGCAAATGGTTGGTTTTCTTGAAAATATTTTAGAAGGATAAAATATGATTCATTCTGTTTTTCAGAAAAAAGAAAAGAATTTCCTTATATTAAATAGAGAATAGAATTTTCTGAAAGGGATGAAAAGGTAAGAGAGATGGGATAGAGGCTGAAGTGATGACCTAAAGATCAGGAATGGAAGGGAGGAGAAACAAATTCAGGGATTGGTTTCACCTATTTGTCATAACCTTGCTTTCGCAGATTTTACTGAGGCCCAGCACAAAGAAGATGTGTAATGATCAGAGTGTGGGGAGGAAGATACACAGTATGATATCCCAGAAGGCAGGGAAATTTGTACTAGTAATAAAAGAAAAAAACAAGTGGAGGGCTTCCCTGGTGGCGCAGTGCTTGAGAGTCCGCCTGCCGATGCAGGAGACGCGGGTTCGTGCCCCGTTTCGGGAAGATCCCACATGCCGCGGAGCGGCTGGGCCCGTGAGCCATGGCCACTGAGCCTGCGCGTCCGGAGCCTGTGCTCCACAAATGGGAGAGGCCACAACAGTGAGAGGCCCGCATAACGCAAGGAAAAAAAAAAAATAAAAAAAAACAAGTGGAAGCACTTGGTATCAAGATAATTTTTAAAAGGTATATGATGGCAATTTGGCAGAAGTACCAGTCTTATTTCTTAATTCTATATGGAGAAGCATTCTCAAAATGTTTTTTTCTTTTATTTTTTTCTCTGTTCCCTGTCATAATAAGTGTAGAACATAAAATACTCCAATTAGAAATAGAGATTTGTCACCATGATTCCTAAAGGTGGTGATAAGCATGTTTTTCCCCTTCCCACATCCAAAGATAATTTTTCTAACAAAATAATTCTGAATTAACTTGAGTTTTTTAATTATTAAATTCCTCTTAGCCTTATGCTGCTTCCATTTTCTTTTTCAAAGTCTTCTTTCTAGGTTTTCCTCCACTTTTATTATAAAACAGGCTAGAAAAAAAAGAAAAACTGAGATAATTAATAGTGAGATAATTAATGTTTTCTCTTAACATGTTCAAAGGGCTTTTTTAAGGAAGACTGGGAGAAACAACAATGAAAAAGTTTTCATTATTCACTGGTAACAGTTAATTCTGACTTTATCTTGTATTAGAATTTCTAAGCGTCTTCCATCTACAGAAGGCAAGGAAATAAACAGAGGGAAATTCTTCATAATCACAAGCTGCTTGCCGGTTTCTATTCTTAAACAGTGGATCCAAGACAAATGCCACTGGAACTGTCAGGATAACAGTGAAAAAAAAAAGCCCTCAACTACAGATACTCAAAAAACTGGGCTGGATTTTAGTTAGAAGCAACTGCTCTCAAAAAAACGAAAAACAAAAATCAAAATATAACTATCATTATTAGTTTGTGAGCAGAATTAACATTATCACACATCACTGACAATCACCAATGATCCCCTGAGCTTCTCTAACAATAAAGGAAATAGAAAGACAAGAAACTCCTTTACAAGCAAAATCCAGAATCAGAACAAAAATGTTTAGATATCTGATCAATACTGCCAACTCAGCCACAGCCATCATCTTGCTGCCAACTCTGAAGTTCTAGAGTCTTTAGGCTAACTCTTGTAAGGTAATTCTTGGCTTTACAGAATTAAAAACGGAAAGATTACAAAGTAACCCGTAGTTTTGATTCAATGAGAGATGTTGAGACAGAACCAACCAGTTAAGCTGCTCCTGAATCCCCGACGCCCAGGAACTGTGTGAGGTAATAAACGTTTATTGTTTTAAGCTGCTAAGTTTGGGGACTGTTTATTAGGCAGCAACAGACAACTAATATCTCTCATCACAAGTTCACACCGTTTGCTAGATTTTCACCATTAATGTAAAAGGCAAGGTGGTATTTTTTATGAAGAAATATAAAATAATTACTAATATGTAATGTGCAGACAAATGAAAACAAGTATGTTAACGGAATTTCTTCAGATACAGTTAACTGTAACTGTGATGAGACTGATAGTGTAAGATTAGTGGGGCTGATTCTTTTTCCTAATCTGCTCCAACTTTTGCGAATAGCTTCTCTACCTTGAAACAGTTTCAAATCCCTATGATATGACAGGTAGAAGAAAAATGACAAGGGAAGCTAACCTAGAACAATTTTAGGATGGAATTACTGAAAACTGCAAATGTAAGTATTCCAAGAAAGTTATTATTTTTTAATATTTCTGTATTTGAAAGAATTCTAGAATAGTGACTATAACACCTCTAGATCCATTCTTCATCCTTTGGTGAAGAGATGAGCATCTTTAAACAGTGGCTTTTTCTTAAACAACAAGTCAAGAGACGTAGGTTTACATTTCTCGCTGTATAAATTGACATAAAGCTAAATAAGGAAAAAGTATGACCTTTCATAAAAACAAGGGTTCTTATTACCAAACAGAATTTTATAGATGAGATAGGTGTTACTTAGTGCTCATTTTCATGTGAAAAATGATAAGCAGACAAAATGGTGGATAATATAAGAAAATAAAAATCACTTACCCTTAAGAGGATCATGCTCTGCTCTCATAATATCAATAAGGGAATTTTCTAGAGAGTGCATATTCAAACTGTCATACATTCTACTTCGATCCTAGAAGAGAAGAAAAAAAGAATATAATCTATGCAATTTTTTCAGAAAGTGATGATTAAATACTATCTAAATCTTCTTACATAAAATAGGGCATCTGACTAATATAATATTACTAGTCAGTTTGCATCCCAAGACAATACCAATAACTAAGGATCTCATGAGCTACAATATCTCTTGTAGTGGAGGACAATATATTTCATACATTTACCTCCAAAATCACATATCAAAAACAATCTTATTTCATTGGCAGTATTAATGCAATATAGTAAAATAATTTCTCTTGTTATCATTCTCAACTTATAAACATTTCTGAAATGTTATACGCACAGAAAGCATTTTTAGTTGTTATTTAACTTTTAAACTTTTCACATATATCTAGGAATTCAGACATTGGCACTTGAAAAATAAATATTTGAGGTGAAAGGGCTTAATTCCATTGTGCACCATACTTTAAACATCTATCAAACATCATATGTTATTTGATTTAATAGTCAGAATTTCATAATAATGAATGCATAAACATCTTAAACAGTAAAAATAAAAAAACATGAAATACCAATATTGGAACCAAGACTAACATCTAGAATACTTATATTTAAATCTTGTTCTCTGAAATTCTCACATATTGGCCTCTGCATTTCTAAATCTTCCCTCCCCTCTACCCACCCCTGCAAAAAAGGAAGGTGGGGAGAAAAGGGTGAAAGAATTCTCATTGCAACAAGTTTCCTATATCATCAAGTCTCAGAACAAAGTCTTGTGTGTAGTTGGTAGTTTTCTTTGCTGAATGTTATATCCCTCAACTTGCTTACTAGAAGGAATTTGATTCTTTAATGCTCATGAATATATACTGTATTCTGCTCAATATATACTCAATATACTTGAACAAATACATATATAGGGAACCATTACAGCAAGCCCTGGCCTGTGCTCCTCAAATCACCAAGCAGTCTATTCCCAAAATATGTCAGTGCCAGCCCCCACTCATTTAGGTATATGCGTGTATGTGTGCTTGTGCAGTGTATGTAAATGAAGGAGAGGCAGGGCAGGCCATTTTTAACTCTCAAAAAATGATTAACATAGAAAAAGGAAAGGGAAGAACTGGAAAAGTGGAAAAAACGTTTCCACAGAAATCAGAATGAGGCACTTCTTAACCTGGGTCTCTGAGCTTCAAGAAGGATCATGAAATCTGTGAGAGTATATATAATGTTCTGTACATGCATGTACACATATTTTTTTTCTGAAAAGGTTTATGGCTTTCATTAGTTTTCCAAAGGAGTCCACAATTCGGAGAAGATCCTGAACCAATCTTTTAGAAAGCTGAGGAAAAACATAAGAGGATTTCCTGAAAATATGTTGATTTTTTATTCTACTTTGATGTTTAAATCAGGGTTGGGAGCTTTTTAAAGCTAGGGGGACAGAATCACTACTGTAGACTAAACAAGTTGCTGTCAAAGAATTTGAAAGTGTGAAAAGTAACAGTGAATGGAAAGAGGGCTAGACTTGGAGGATCTTACTGGAGTTTTATCACTAATTACCTACATTAGTACCCCTTACTTATTTTTATCACTATTACCTACATTAGTACCCCTTACTTATTTTTACTTAAAGACTCCTGAGATATAACACACTCATCAGTAATAGGTGTTCACTAGAACAATGATCTTGATTGGTGAGGGAGGCACAGAGAATCACTGAGCTATAACAGTGCTTCTCAAACTTGAATATGCTTCAGAAACATCTGGAAGGCTTGTTAAACACACAGGTTGCTGGGACTCATCGACAGTCTGATTCAATAAGTTTGGAGTAGCCCCTGAGCATTTGTATTTCCAGTAAGTAACCAGGTGATACCGAGACTACTGGTCCAAAGACCATACTTTAAGAAGCACTGAGCTTCTTAACCTGAAGCTACTAAACCTTTTTAGGCTCTGTTCCATCTTCTAGAAAATAAAATAATCATGTCAAACTAGCCAATGCCTAAAGTCCACTTTAAGAATAATAGAAATAATAGAAAAGCAAAGATTCGAAGTAGTATATAATAAATAAAACCGGAATAGAGAAGAGCAAAAATGAGCAAATATGTCCACCTTTGTGTTTCTACTGTACTTGTTCATAGCTAATTTTTTGGTTTTCCTGCCTCTGCCACTACACTTCTAAACTAATTAGGGGTAGGGACCTTCTAATTATGGAATATAGCTAGCTCTCAAATGTTTGTTGAATGAATAGTACTTTATCTTTACCATAAAAACTTTGCAAAAATGCTTAAGTTTAGCTCAGTGAGGGCAAAGACCGCACTTTTAAGTGGTAATTATAAAGGACTATAAAGCCTTCTCAGAATCCTCTGCGGAATAGGTACTCAAATGTTAAGTGACTAAACTGAGACAAGTATCAGATATTAATGTGACCTTGCTATCAACTTCAATCTCCAACCACACAATGAAAGATTAAGTACTATGATATTCAAAGCTCCAAAATGTACTTAAAATAGAATTTAGGGGCTTCCCTGGTAGTGCCGTGGTTAAGAATCCGCCTGCCAATGCAGGGGACATGGGTTTGAGCCCAGGTCCGGGAAGATCCCACATGCCGTGGAGCAACTGGGCCTGTGCGCCACAACTACTGAGCCTGCACTCTACAGCCCGCGAGCCGCAACTACTGAGCCTGTGCACCACAATTACTGAAGCCCATGAGCCTAGAGCCGGTGCTCCGCAACAAGAGAAGCCACCACAGTGAGAAGCCCGCGCACCGCAATGAAGAGTAGCCCCTGCTCGCTGCAACTAGAGAAAGCCTGCATGCAGCAACGAAGACCCAACGCAGCCAAAAAAATAAAATAAAAAATATTAAAAAAAATAGAATTTAAAAAGTAAACTGTCATGACAAAAATTGTTCATGTAATTGAGCAAAAAAAATCTCAAAAGGTATGCTGTATCATATAGGTTCTAAGATGGAGTATATTCTAGATACTTTATATTCTATTTAACTTAAATTCTTGCAAAGAAAATGTGTTATGGTTCAGAGCGCTCTTCTCAGGCTGATGTTTTCTGAACAGAATCAGATCATGCTCCGTCTTTAGTCAACCTATGAACTCAATTAATGGTGACTATTAATACCACCCAAATGATATTTCCCACACAACTTCTATTTATTTATTTTTTTGGCCAGCCACTACTTCCATTCTAAAGAGTATGCTCTTGCTTTAGAGCACAGCAAAATTAATGTAGAATCCTACACAACTGTCAATGCCATGGACAATATTTAAGGTATGAGGAGAAAATATTTAAGCACGCTATTCAATAAATATCAGTGACCACTATATGTCAACTCTGATAACTCTTATTCAAAAAAAAGCTGCATGTATTTATATCTTTAGCTTTAATGCGTACATCCAACTGAAATAGTGAGATGCCCACTTATAAGGTTCCTTATTTTCCTTTGCATATCAAGTCTTTCATCATGAAACAAACTCCTACTTCAGCAAAGAAAACAGCAAAGCTATTTTAAAACTGTTAACTAAGTTATACTTTATTAAGCATCAGCTGCATCCCACATGATTTTTAAATCACTAAACACAAAATAGCCTTGAGCAGGCAAAGAGCTCATGACATCTCTAAAGTCACTTTCTGGATAATGAAACCTAGAGGTTCATGTTAAAAACATACAGATAATTCCATTAAGTAAAGTGTGGGGATTAAAATACGACTTCTGAAAAAAACAAAAATCTGATAAGACAAACACTCATGCATTCTTCTGAAATAGGGATATTAGAAAAAATTGTGTTCACATAAACTGCCATTGGTTCAAAAACTAAATGGAAATCCTGAAACCACTTTAAAGTAACCATAAATGCACCAACACTGATTACCATTAAAAAAAATATGGAAAATCATGGCAATGTAACTTACATTTATTACTACATGGCTATTTGAAAACAGCCAAGATATTTCATAAAAGTAAGAATCTCTATCAGGAAAAGTTTACCCAAATCTACTTTAAGTATGAAAGCTATGTGGCAAAGAATCAACTAACTGGGCTTTCAGAAACTGAGATTACAGTATCCCACAACAAAAATGAACAGGCAAAAATTAGAACACAATGGTGGAAAAACTGTAATTTCTTATATTCTAATATTTTATTATTTTCTTCAACCCAGACATTTGCAAAGACTTATGGAAGCAACAATGAAGTCCTAGAAAGACTGAAAAACATAGAAAGAACAAAGTCATCCTAATTTTAAAAAGGATGACCTGAGAAAGATTATAAATGCTGAAAAATAACTAATGTGTTCAACAATGATATTAAAATACAACAAAAGGAATTTGAACTTAATTAAAAGGGAACTTTTTTATGGGATGCTGTATTTTTGCTTTGACATATCCAAAACCCTGTTTTATTTCAAAAGAAGTGATTAAGTAGAAGCTTTTCCTTTTGACAGTGATGTATCCTTCCTAAGAAAAAGGAGGTGGATTATAGAAAAAACCTGCATCATCATATTTAAAGTTATACCAATGCTTGGTCATATATTCTTCTGCCTAGATAGAAAGATCAACTTTTGTTGTATTTTTGTATTTAGTCATCCAATTTTTCCTTTAAAATAAAAAAGCAAATTTGTACTAATATTGTTCTCAATTTTAACACTGATTATACATTTCTCATTACATTCTGCTATTGTACTATACTGAATTAGCAGATGATGTGTTGCTCTGCCTCACTATACAACGTGGCTCTCAATCTCATACTCTCTAGTTGTTCCACACAGATATTTCTTACTCATCCAGCTGGACTTTCATCTTCTCTAAGGCAAAGAACACTATTTCCCCCGTATACCCTAAGGGTAATTAAAGTACTACCACATATACAATGAATATACATTTCTCGACCTTCCTTCGTTATTATGATCCTCAACAAAGTACTATAACAGTGATTTTCAAAAAAAATTTTAAAAAAATTTTTGAAGCCCCAAATGGCCAAAGCGAATCTAGTATCCACAATGGTTAAATAAAATGGAAAGGTAAGTAGAAAATATTTGGGGTAAGAATGTATCAAGTACAATTAAAGAACTGAACACAGGATAGGAAACATAAAAAGGATCCATTACTTAAGCAGATATAACAGGTCCCATTCTGTCTCATTTTCAGTAGGTGTGACAGTTTGACAACAACTAATGTCCCTATGACTCAACTAGTTTAAGAATCACAACTTAAGGAATGTTTTATTAAATGAAAAATTGGACTTGGTCTTGTTTTTTTTTTTGTATAAGGTGAATAAAGTCTCCAAATAATGTATTTTTCTGAGACGTCCCCATATTATCATTTATCATGTTACCATAACAGTGTGGATATTAAAGATTAGCAGAAAATATCTTCAATTAATTCAAGATAGTTTATGTGACATGATCAGGAACTGCAAGCAGAACTTCTGTAAGACCAAAAGTCTAGAGCTAATATATAGATAATCCCCCAGCTAGAGAGCGGGCCAACACTCATAGGCTTCACAGGCTATATTACAATTTTGAAGGCATCATGTTGCTTTGTTTACAGAAAACTGATATTCCATATGTAAACTTCTAAGTAATAACCTCAACTACTAGTATATTTACTCTTGATTTAAAATATTCAAGTATTAATGAATAAATATGCTGTAGCCTTATTATCTACCTGAAAGATTCAATTTTAAGGTAATTTAGAATTTATACTTTTGAGTATGACTTCTTGCAAGGGTAACTAGCTAATAGCATTTTAAAGAAAAGTAATTCTTAGCTAGCCTTAAAGAAATTAATAAGACTATCTAACATTCATTTTAAAGTCAGAAGTGTGTATAACAATTTACATTTGTTTTTAAAAAGTTTTAAATTTAAAGCTTTTCCATAAAAAAATAGGCCATTTTAAATAAGGAAATGCCAATCTGAAAAATTTTACATACAACTGAAATAAAAGCTACAAAACTACAAAATCTTTCCCATTTACTAAATTCAATTACATGTCCAGGTCTTGGTATATTTAATTAAGGCCAGGTACAAGAATTAAGTTCTAGAATTTAGTACATTTAGTTCTAGAATTTAGTACATTTTAGGCTTAAATCAATTTGAGACCAAAAGAAATAAAAAAAAATGTTTTTAAACAATGCATTTGTTAACTAAAATTTATTGGTATTAAAATGTTATATATGACGAAAAAATATCAGGACTGAAAATAATCTACCCAGATATTTAAGCATCTAAGTATTTTCTATAATTTTAACTTTGTCAAATAGTGAGGAACTACCCAACTGTTTAAGATACCAAATGCAGTTTGTAGCTTTTGCTGTATTTCTAAGAACCTCAACTTCAAATACCTCAACCTTTTATGGAAAGATAGAAACACAGAACAAATTTTGTATAATAAGTACCCTTAGGGTACTCAAAGGAGACAACAACATTGCTTTTAAGACCAGGTGGGAGGTCATACAGGATACCTCCACTGCTTGGGACCAATGCCCGCTGCTTCCTCCCCAATAAACCAAGACCCTTGTATTCTAAAAATAAAGGAGGGGGGAGCAGGAAGCAGGGAGCAAAAGAAATGGCAACAATAGATGAAAGAAATCATAAGAGCTGGCTAAAAAGGCCTTACATGATCTAGTTCAAGGTCTTCCTTTTATAGATAAGGAAACTATGACCCCAAGAGATGAAAGCCCATAGACTGTGTCATCCAGTGTCACAAAGATTGTGAAAGGAAGAATAAGAAGATTCAGGTTTCAGACCTCCTTTCCTTCTAGTTCAGTTCACTTTCCACTATCTTTTTCTTCACCATTCTCTTCAACTTCATCATCACATCTCTGGATCAAGAGTCCACAGGGAATGCCAATATCTTAGCAGTTTACCAAAAAAAATTAACCTTTAGCATCAAAATCCTTTTTCCTAAAATGAATTTACCTAAAATCCTAGGTTATAAAATAGATAAGAGCAGAGAGGCTTTGAAGTCTAAGTGGGAGGGCTCACCCTCATCCTGTGGCCCTCATGCTGTGGCAGCCCCAGGGGCACCTCTGCAGAGCCCAGTTTGAAAATTTCCCTTTCATTTTCACCTCTATCTACTCTAGCATTATTCTACCAACTGAAGCTATCTTAATAACCTAATTTCTCAACATCTGTCCCCCACCCCCATGGATCCTCATGGCAGCTAATCTTCTTTCTCCATAGATATATATCCCTTGCACATATCCTCTTGCTTCTTCCTGCACAACCTTTTCAAATAATTAGGTCCTTTCCTGTCTAAAAACATGTCCCTTGCCACCTTCAAAATTATAATAATTTTCCTCTTCTAACATACCATCTCCTAGGCATTTATGTATTTAATTTGAACACCATAAAAGTGCTACCATAAAAATATCACTAATATGGCCTAACTGAGCCAGAGTAGAGAAGAGAATAGAAATATATGGATAACATTACAACATTAACAAGACAATAAATTACAAATTACATGAGACAATTACTTATTTCTAAGTGGAGACCCTGGCAGGACTACTTTGGTAAGTAGGTAGGACTTGTTTAAAACTAGTGCTAATGGTTGATTGAAGTTACTGCCAACCTGCCAGGTTAGAATGATATTTACAAATGTAATATTAATCTATTTATACAGTCCTTACTTGTAAAATGATTTCATGTTGATAAAGTAACTAAGGATAACAGAGCTCCTTTCAGTGGACTCCCACAATGTCAAGTCTATGCTCATTGAAACTTGGGCTCTGTAGGAAAGAATCCTCTTATGTGAGGACTGAGTGTTCTATTTGTCCTGAAATAATTCTCATCAGCTGGTACCCAGTATGCATTCAAATTTCATCTGCAGAAGAGAGATAGCATTTTGTAACCACAATGGACTTGAAGGTAGTTTGATTAAGACTGACTCTCAGCTTTTCGACTCAGAGCTTTTCCATAGGAAACTGATTATTTGGAAGAAGACAGTATATAATAGCAGTAACAAAATTTAGAATAGAGAAATACTATAAAGTTTTTTATAAAGGTAAAAACCTGAACTAAGGGCTTTCTTAGAAATACATCTCAAGATAAATACAGCAGATTTCATGAAAAAAGTTTACCAAAAAATTTTATAAATCATTTATGAAATGTAAGATTAGATGTTAAGTAAACATATGATTTTATACCTAATTGCAAATGATTCTGAAAAGACATAAAATGTGTTCAGTTTGACTGATGTTTAAAGTCAGGTGCTCTTGGGTATAGGATTCCTTTCTCCAAAAACAAATTTATTATGTTTAGGACATAAAAAATGATTATGAATTACTTTTAATTTTAAAAATGAAGCATTTTATATTAAATAGTTTAAGTGACCCTTTAAAAATAAATTGCTTTAATGCTTCTGACATATGCTTAAATAGGTATAATTGGAAAATAAATAATAAATCCTACTCATAATACAAATACTAAACTCCTAGCCAAAATCCTGAAAAATATACACTGTCCAGCCTACCTGGTCTATTCTGGATGTTCCGGCTGCAGTGCACCAACTATCTTGGAGTGAATCTGAGCCCCAAGCTGGCAACTGCAAACTAGATCTCACCTTCAATAGCATAGAAGTTTTCATCAGAAATAAGCAGTTCTCTTCCCCATACCCACCCACAAAAAAAAAAAAAAAAAAAAAAAAAAAAAAAAAAAAAAAAAAA